CTCTGTCCAAGAGATTGGGGAAGGACCACCCCAGCCTCACAGCAGGTGAAGCTACACAAGGGGATATAGAAGTAGACCAGGGATGGGGAGGACTTTGAGTTCCACCCTCTTCCCCCAGAGACATTTTTCTGCCTCAACCTTTGCTCAAGTTGTTCCCTCATCTCAACTTCCCTTCCCAGCCTGGAAAAATCTTTCTAGCCCTCAAGGTGAAACTCATGTCCCACACCCACCCTTAGGTGGTTGGGTATATGAGCTCTATTTAGACCCAGCCAACCTGTCCTACCCAGCTCCTCTACCTTCCCAGAGGTATGTATATCTGGTATTTCTTTGGGCAACTTATTTAGTCTCTAAACTTTAGTTCCTTTATCTGAAAACTGAGATTAATAACACTTACCTCTGAGACTTGTTGTGAGGCTCTGATGAGGTGATGTAAGCATGACACCCAGAACATAGTAGGTGCTCAACAGTTATCATTGCTACTCCCTGAGCACTTGGTCCCTGGCACACTCTGCCCTGCACTTTCTCGTGGGGGTGGTTCTGACACTTTAGCTAGGCTGAAAGGTCTGACAGCAGTGCATGGGTATCCCCCACAAAGTGGACCTCATGCAAAAGTAAGAGGCAGAGAAGGCCAAGAGTTGACAACACGACTGACTTTGCTCCCTACTTGTGCCCAGGCCAAGGGCTCATTTGATTTTTAAAATCCTGAGATGGTGCAGGGGGCTGAGGATGACACAGAGGTGCAGAGGGCTGCTAGGGGAATCCTGAGCCAACTATGTTCCCTCTCTGGGTCTCATGTCTTTCACCATTCTACTGGTGGCTAAGCTGAGGCCTAGAGAAGTGGGCACACTGCAGAGCTCAAACTGGAGAAGGCTGGGAACAGGAGGGCAGAACAGCTTCTCCCCAGGCACTTACCCCATCCAGAGGAGTGTGGGCATCTGTCCTCTTGACTAAGAAGAGCAGGAACATTCAAGGAAAGGGCCTCTTCCACTTGTCTCAATATCCCCAATCTTAGGTCCAGGCATGGAACATGGTGGGTGCTCAGTAAATGCCTGCTGAATACATGACTCTATTTTCCAAAATTTGCAGCTCTCAGCAGAAAGTGCCACCTCTTTGGTGCCTGATCCTCTCCTCTATCCCGAAGGACAATCTCTTAGGCATGAAGTAGCCTTTGACTTCACTTCCAAAGCTCCCCTCCCCCCTGGTTATTTGCCGTGCCTAATAGAACTAGGCTGCAGAGTCACACTTGGCCAGCAGGGGCGCTAGCACACAATGGAGCCTGGAGAGTCCGCTGGATAAATTAATGCCTCCTGTTACCGACCCCATAAGCTCAAGAGTCTGCAAATCAGATTTCCTGGGAACAAGGGAGACCCCCATTTCCATGATCCAGCTTCTTTATGTCTTGCTGCTGACAGCTGCTTAACACATACAGTTTCAGACACAAGGAAGGAATGGTGGCAGGGGACTGTTCCAGTCCCTGTGGCTCTATGAAGTACTCAGGGACCCTCTGGAGATCAGAGATTTTCTGAATTCTCAAACTCTGCGGGATACTTTCCCGGTGAGCAGATGTTACCACCTCAGAGAGGGTGAGAGGCCAAGACAGGTTCAGATGGACCTCAAGGTCAGGGATTTTAAGCAAAAGGGTAGACTTGACAAGAGTGAGCAGACACGGTGTGCAAATAAGCTTAATGTATTGTGGGTGGGCAGGACAAGATATGCTCTGTGGTCTTGAGCCACTGTTTGGAAATATCAGACACAAATTCAGAGATTTTGTCTAAGTCTGAGAACACCATATTTTAGAGCTTATGCACTATTCACTCAGAAAAACAACCAATGGGAACACAGAACTTGACCACTCA